CCAAGAGTCTGATTTGTGGGTTAGCCGTATCCTCCCCTCATAGCCTACGAACCCGCAGAACATGGGGACGCAGTGGGAGTTCCCAGAGTTTTGGGGGGAGTTGGAGTGAAAAAAAAGGAGGGGGGAGGTTGGGTCAGACCACCACCGAGCTGGGGAGACCCCTGTCTTCCTCCTCGCCAGTTCCCACTGCTCCCAACACGGCACACACATGTTGAAAAGGTCAGGTCTTGATAGACAACAGAGCACCGGCAATTACGCTGCTATTTCTCAGTGGCTGGAAGTCCCCTGTTTTCTGTGTGAGTGTGTGTGTGGAGAAAGAGAGAGTGTTTTTTTTTGTGTTCATAGAGAATAAAGAGGCAGTGTTTTAAGGGGAAAAGGAGCTGGGACAGGGGGAACAGGGAACTGCATGTAAGGACTTGTGCCCGAATTGCTTCATGTCTGTCTATCTGTCCATTTGGGGAAATAGGAGAATGCGCATGAGAGAATGCAGGTGTGTAAGTGTTAGTGCATGAGTTTGTTCAGAGTAGATTCCCACAGTTAATGTGAGTGTATGAAAGAATGCATGTGTGGGTCTATTCATACCTGAGCTACAAGTCTGACTTTGTGTTTCTTTCAACACCTGCAGCTGAGGCTTGCTGTTTGCTGCTTCGTCCTCACTGTTGAGGTCGGAGGCTGCAGTCAGGACTCCATCTCTGACCTAAACAACGGGGTCAAACCCTGGCACCCGCTGGAACTGGATGCTGAGGCTGCAAGGAACGTGAAATCACACACACACACAGACGCGCACACACACACACACACACACATACACACATACAGACACACACTCTGATTTCTTCCAGCGAATTTTCTCTTCCCTGTGTCATTTCTCCTTCACACGAACACCTATTTCTGTCTTTCTAAGGATGGCTTTCATGGAGGAGTACTGAGAGAAAAAGTCAAGGCAGAGTTATGACAAGAGCAGACCGCAGTTTGACAGATCTGGAGATCACACGGAGAGGATTCCACGGCCCCTTAACAACTGAAGTGTGCTGCTCTAATTTGTAATGTGTTGCATCTGGAAGTTTGCCTTTGCATACCTTGTTCCACCAGCTTTTCACATTTATGTGTGCATGTGGTGTAATTTTTGATCCCAGAGGTGGACTTGACTACGCAGTTTTGACTTATGAAAAAGCAGTTGGGCATTGTGCCCTGTGAATGCCTGCACATCTAGTGCCTTAAAGGAAAAGGGGTCCGGAGAGGTGCTGGGAGGCCCCACAGAGCACTCCATTCAGGTCGCTATGCATGTTAGAGAGATGAAGGCCTGTAAATGGCTGCCAGTAATCGTCCCTATAAAAGAGCAGCTGCGTCTAGGATCAGTTGTAAGTATGGCTGCTGTACTTGGCCTCCCTCCACTGCTTAATATTCAAGTGAACAAGCAGTAAGAGTGTGTATTTGAGTCTTTCTCTGTGTGCATGTGTGTATGTGCGCTGTGTGGCTGCTTGTTTATGCGTGAAGAGGTTGCCCTGGATATGCACTCTGCTCTGGATATTTTCCAAGTCCAATCTATATCGCTACCAGCCTGTGGAATGTACCTTTGCTCCTGGGAAATTTCACCTGACTTACTTAACCCTGTGTCTGTGTGTACATGAGTAACCCAACCATAAATGTTACCACTGTTTCTAATGGGCCTATTACAAGACATGAGCTTGTGTCAAATAACACACAGCTCCGCACTAAAAACATCAACACACAACCCACTAATGGAATCAACTTTGTCATCATAGACACTGATGAGCTAGTTAGGGCTTTAGTTAGCGGAGCCTAATTCCACCCTGAGGAGGAGGGAGGAGATCAGTCAGTAGTCTGCAAAGGACCTGCTCCATGTGTCCGTGACTCATGCATGCTCATGATATGGCTGGGTGGTGGTGGGGGAGACACCAGGTTAAGAACTGTTTTTGTTTCTCGGTTGCAAGGCAATCCACTCTGTAATAGCTTTCACTGGAAAAAAAATATAACAGTTGCAGGTATCATAACTGTCGTGAATATGCGGCTATCAGTATATTGAGTTTCTATTGGCAGCTCTGCTATCTTTTTATGGTTCCCCAGCACACTGAAGTGTGAGATTCTTTTGCTTTCTTGCAGGCTCAGAGTTCAGCTGCAAACTGGGATCAAGTTGAGATGGGGTTATGGATGATAATGTGTGTGTTATAACACTTACTGTACTGTGATATCAGACCTTTTGCTTTGAGAGTATCCAATAGGTGTTAGGACTCTATCACTTTATGTATAATGAAAGAATATCACAGAAATGAGACATTTTCCAGGCACATTTATACAGTGTTGGAAGTGTTCAGATTCTTTACTTGAGTAAAAATACTAATACCACACTGACTTTTCTCAACCCATAGAGGAACACTTAATCCTTCAGTTTAGCAAGGAGAAGGCGGTCAGAAGGATCTGACCTCACAGGGTCTTCATTAGCTTGAGTAAAATGAAATGCCAATATCTATCTTGTTCTGGAGTGTGAAAGACTAGGGACAATGAAGGAAATAAGTGTAGGCCTTTATTATTGAATCCCTAAATCTGGTATGTTGTCTTTTATTTTAGGATTTTGTCTATAAATAGTTAATAAGTTTAAATAATAAACCAGGCTAAATGATAAAGCACTTTATTCCAAAGTAGTATAGATGGGAGGATGTTTAATGACATATCCAGACAGGTACTGTACACAACATGGGACAAATAAATTTCCATAATCATCCTACTTTCCAACAATTTTCCAAAACTACAATCTACCCAGAAGTAAAAACCTTCCTGTCTCGGCTTAACGATATTTGGATTCCCAAGGTCATTCCCAAATGATCACTCCTTCTTACCATGGAAATAGATGATGAGAACAGGCAGACTTCATCTGGAGGCACACTCTAATCCCCAAAAGGCAATGCAACTCATATCTACCACATTCTTAGAAGATTTCCCCCCTTTTTCCTACGCTTCCCTCACTGGGAACTATGTGTGGCCCCGGGGGGGTGGGGAACGGGAGTCATCACCTCACTCAGAGAACGTCCTCTCCACAGCTTCTTTATGGCTAGATTTACTGTGCACCAGCATCTATAAAACTATTTAATGGGGTTAATGTTGTTAGGTACACAGACCTCAGTTGCCAGTAAACATGTTGCCTAATAGCTCACGCAGAAAAGAAGGAGGGAGTAGAGAAAGAGAAAATTATTTCTTGTTTCAATTTCTTCTTCTCTCCCTAAAATGTCGGTCCAGTGATTCTTTTCTCTCTTTTTCCCAGTTCAGTCGCCCCCCCATTTCTCTTTTTATCTTCCTCTTATACCACCCTCTCCATCTTTCATGTGCATCCCTCTTCTGTCTGAAGTTCAGCTTTAAGATTTATTTTGTCCATAATAATGTGGTTTAAAGCAACATTTATAAGCACAGCCATCAAATCACAAAAGACATTCAAATGAAAGGAGGAGAGAGAAAGACGGCAATGCATCATCCTCACCTGCTAGTTTTTCCTTTTGCTCGCTTCTTCACCTTACATTAAAAACAATCATTCTCTCCTACAGCGGGCCGTGCTCCCTTGTGTCCTCCTCTGACTCCCACTCTCCCACCATGATGGGAAGTCGCCTAAAAGAAACGTGATTCATGCATTTTCAGTGAGAGTGTGACGTAACCATGACGACATAGTGGCCCTGTTGAATGCCACGAACCTCGCAATGATGAACCTGCCTGTCACTGGCCTGTTTTAGTCATTTTGCCATAGCATCACATACTTTAATGCGCGCGATTACTCATGCTGTGCTAAACTGAGGAATGAATGATTAGTGCAGTGCAATAAAAATAAACAAAGAGGCTTCAATAGGAGCAACGTGTCACATAAATGGCTTTAACAGAGGGACATTTATTATAAAAATATTACATTTTACAGCACTGGTACCATCCTAAAATGAACTTCATAGACCTATTAAAATAGTTATATTAATTACTCCACCAGCTGCTGCAGTGCTTTCTCCACGCAGTGTTTCCAGCCACAAGGCCCTCAGGCTGGCCTTGTGCTATGCGATCCAGATGAATGGACAAGGTGGAGGGCAGACCACCTGGTTGGCTGACCTATGGCTCCCTGCTGATTGTCACCTCTGGCTGATAATGTGTGTGCACGCTGTCTGTGCCTCTGCTCCTGTAGGTATGTCTCGTTTATCAGGCCCTCAGGCTCTTCTCCCAGACCTCCCAGCACAGCGCCGCACAGCCTCCAGCTTCCTTGCAGCAAGTTAAGACCAGTCTGTTGTTAAACTGCTGTAAAGTAGTTGCTTCCGGTGTCCCAAAAATCATGTCCACACACGGGTGTTAAATGGTTAAGACAGCATTGGGTCATTGTCATCACCCTCATCGTTTTGCCTTCTTTAAGGTTAAATTTAGATTTTTCACACATAAGTATTGGATGTACAGACATAATACACGAATGGGTTCTTAAACTCAAATAAACAAAGAGAGCTTGTACTATCACATCATCATGAGGCATCATGAGTCACCACTATCATCACTACCATGATCATCGTTTTACATTTTTTTTGTCTACTAAATCTATCTACCAAATTAGATTACATCCAGAAAATCATAAACCATCACTGATTCAATATACATTTCATTACTGACTTCCTCTTTCCTTCATTTTTTATTCAATCCCTAAAAGTTAACAATGAGGACTCATCTTCATCAGCATCCTCATCCTTTTTGTCTGACTTATAGTTAATGGTCAGTTTTTGCGTCCTTTCCAATCAGTGCTAATCAATATCAATTACAGCCTGAATCTCTGAATGGGCTCTCTGCTGAGGAGCGCGCGCGCACACACACACACGGGTTGAGGGGGGGATGGGGACATGCTCTTGAGTCTTAAGTCATCCAACCAACCAACCAGCTCCCCTCGCTGAATAGATGCACGATCACCGAAACGCGAGGGGAGGCGCAACGGGCACGGAGCTACTGGCTCTCTATATCCAGCTGCTCAGAGGCGCTCTGACTCCATTCACTTCAGAGTCCTACACAGCCAAGGACCTGTGCAGACTGCTGCAAGACAGGCTCTGGATAGCACAGCACGGACAGCTTTCTCCCTTGTGATTTCCCCGGAGGATCTGCTCGTTTGGATTATATTCTTTTAGGACTATTAAATACTATCATAGAAAAATAGCCGTGCGTCTTAATCCTGTCTCATTCGAGCAGCTGCGTTTCTTGATTTACATATCAGTAAAGTGGGCTGAAGTTTGAAGCCTATTTGTTTAAGAGGGTGAAGGACAAGTGCAATGCGCGTCAGACTTGTCTCTTGGGATTGTTCCACTTGCGCCTGAGGAGCTATGCCGAACTGCCGCACAGAGCTTGTTCAAGAGGACGTAGTCCAATGTGAATAACGAGAGTCAACTTCCAGCCTCTTCAGCTTTTCACAGTCACAAGCAAGTGCAGCACGGAGTCTGACAGAGCCCGCTGAGCAGCTCTGACACCCCCTGTTTCTCTCCCCGAGGGGATGGTTGTGGATCCTGTGGGGCCAGGAGCGATTCCGCGGCTCCTACAGAATAGCATCTGTTTCTTTTTCTTGGTTAAATCTAAATTAAAGGGAGATGAGAGCCGCACTTTGTTACTTCCTGCTGTGGACGACGTACCTGCTGCTGGCCACCTCTGAGGTAAAGTTACCAGGACTTCGCACAGCCAGAGAGGGACCCGTGGGGCAGGATAGCCTGTGTCCCTCTGGTTCCCTGTCACACACAGTGGTGCATGGTTTTATTCCTGTGAGGGTGCAAAGTTCCCACAGAGCGCACATTTCTCCAACATCTACACACCACAACTTGATGCCCAGAGAAAGAAAACTACAGAGCAACAAGCTCTAAGTTTTGATTTACATTTAAAGCCTGTAATTAGGCTAGAAGATAAGATTATGAGCATGGAGCCGACATAATTTGAAGCAATTCTTCCTTTGAATGAACCTATACCAATCCCTTTACAAAAAAAAAAATAAAATAAAAGGGTAGTTTAGAGTTTAGACTAAGAAGCTATTTTAAGAACAGTATGTGAATTCATTTTTCGAGAATGAACAAACTGCATATCAGCTCCAGTTACCATGAGGGGCCAGTGACTGCGCGCTTTTCAGAACCAACATCGGGTCTGCACTTGGACTCATATCGCAGTTATTTTTGGCTTTTGTGTCAAATCTGTTAGTAGCCCGAGCCAAGTCGGCAAACGTTTCGGTTGGGCTAATCGCTTTCATGGGAACCGCTCCGGGCGATATAAATAGCCACTGTTCCTGTAAGGCTGCGCGTTTCGCTCAGCTTGAGGCGCTTGCGAGACCGCAACAAGTGCAAAAGTGTGGAGAGCTGCCGTTCACAGGGACACACAGACCGTCTCCCGACTGGTGGTGGGGTTCCCTTTAGAGAACAGATCGCCCAATCCACAGAGGAACAAGATTAGTAAAAAAGCAATATTTAAAGTCGTCTGGGGGCTCATTTGGGAGCTATTTTAATCAGCTACCAATTAATACTCAAAACAACAGTTATATTAACGCAAGTTCATTTTTTATGATAGGTTTCCCCTCAAACATTCCCCTGCTTATTCATCAGGCAATGGAAAACACTTTTTTAAAAATAGCTATTTTACAGGGAGAATTAAGAATTAATTGGGTGCGGAAAACGGATCATTTGATAAATTATTCTCCAGACATGCAACTTTGCTCCCCTCTGCAAACTTTAATTGCGTAATTTCAGAAAGTTTTGCCACTGACCCGACTCATTTCTAACCTTCATCTCTTGTTTGATTTCTTTGCCCCCCCTTCCCATCCCCTCCCCCTAAAGGAAGTGGAGTTTCCCCAGGAGCTGATAGACAGACTGTCCCACAGTGAAATCCACAGCATCAGCGACCTCCAGCGGCTACTGGACATTGACTCCGTAGGTAAATTCTGCCTCTTGATACTTTTATCAACACACCTGAGTTACATATTGAATCCCCAGATGCTGCTCACATGTGAGACTGCTGTTGGTGCCGTAACAACATGCGGTAACGTGTGATACTAAAAACAGCTGCACCATGATTATATAAGCAGTACATTTATTAGCTGTTAAATAATGCTCCGTTGTGGAATCACCTTTAAAGATAGCCAGAATATTATCTGGTGTGGGGATTTTCCATTTATATTTGCCTAAGTGAGACAACAGGTGATGGCTTAAAAGTTAAGCCGAATAACTATTACATAAATTCATTCAAAGGCCATTTCTAAAATAATCATGACCCTTGTTAAGAGTGCAATATGTTAAGTACCTTTGCTAAATGGATATGTGAATTTTGTGTAATAATTAACAACGGAAAACCACTGATAATATGCTGTCATCATTTGTGGATACACTAACAGCTGACATAGGCAGAAGCTGATTAAATAAGATGTATAGGCTTTGCCAATCGTGCAGGTTTAGTGGATTTAGTGATCAAACAGGAATACCTGTTGTTTTGACTCATATCATAAATTATACTCTGCTGGGAATCAGTGAAAGTATGACTCCTGAAATCAAGCTGACTGTCAATGACTACAGCACTGTGCAGGAAATTGCTGAGGGATCTGTGCACCCAGGGGAGCTGCCAAGTGCCAGCCCTGGTGTGCGTGATAACGTGGTAACCATGATAGGTGCGTTTACTGTACACATGTGACAAAGATGGACTTTCACTGGCAGGCATTTATTTGTGCATATTCTTTCAGCTGCTGTAATAAACTCGCTTTATAGCAACCAGACTGCCACATATGTTGCCCTGTAAACAGAGACAGAGGCTCGCAGGTCAGGCGGGTTTCTTCAGCTTCAGGTTCTTGGAGGTGTTGCTTCTTCTGTGGTGGGAGACCGGTCTCTCTCAGACTGTCTCAGATTAAGTTACAGGGGTGCTCTGGAAGAAGCTGTTTGCCTTCACACGAGCCTCTATTTACACAGGCTCTGGCCATATATCAAATTCAGGGCTCTCCCCTAAAGATTGTTGATGGAAATAGGTAATTACTAAATGATGTAAGCTACCTCATTGGTCATACCTCATTAGTAACCTCAAAACTTATATTCAGCAAAGCAACATTAGGACTGGTCTTTCAGTCAAGTCTCAAGTATTCGTCTGTATAACCACACAATTGCTTTTCTGATGGACGTATCAATTAGGACTAATAGCTACATATCATTAGTGTGTTTAATTTATCAATTCACAATCAAACCAACCTTCACTCCACAGTACAGTGATCACCCCACTTTACACTGAGCCCAGAATAGATCCCCGGAGTGCCTCTAGCATGAGAAGAGGTGTTTATAATTGAATTAACATGTCTTTCTTCAAACAGAGGAATGTTTTGCAGGGTAACAGTAGTAGGCTGATTATTATTACGAGAACATAAATCTGTCTGAGGGCCAACTTGGCGGCCCAGGCCAGCCCATTAAAAGACCTTTGACGCCAGCCAGAGGGGTATTTTCAGAGCTTTTGTTGTGGGCGGCCAGGACACTAAAGCTACCAGTATAGGCTGAACTGTACATGGCATAGCATGTCAACCAGGGAAGGAGAAAGGGAAGGCTAATAGGAGGTGTTTGTTCAAACCTTTACACAATGGCACCTGCAAGACCTAACAAGGACTGACGTGGTGTATTGAAGGGCACATCTAGGAAACCCTTGATTATTTTGTTTTAGCATTTATTGATCTAGACAAAGATTATTTTGGTGCTTGTGTGAGGACGTATGTGTCAGGATCACTGGGGAGGCCTGCAGGGCTTATCTCTAGCTGTGTGTTTCATTTAGTGCTGCTTTGCTCAGTGCAGGCTTGTTTGTCTGTGTGAACATGTCCTGCGAGGATGGTGTCTTCAGCTCTGATTGACAGATGAGATGACCCCGCTGAAGTCTGCAGATGGCTGTCTGGCCCCTGAGGTGCTCCTCTCCTCGCTTTTCCCCTTCTCTATCCCTGTCTCCCTCCTTAGGCGGCCCCCTCTGTCTGCCTGCTCTTATCTCCCTCAGTGAAGGACTTTGACAGAAAAAGGAACCTGACTCTTGGCATGGGGCAGAGGTGGAGGAGGGAGCAGGAGAACTCTGGAGGTTGTATCCGTGCTGCACTTCACTCAGAAAGGCCGCAAGTTGTTGTGCAATGTGCTTTGTTTCTGACAAGCTGGCAGCGTGTTTACCTCCAGCTGGCAGCACTTCCTATGAACCTGCAGGGCCTCAATAACACAGTTATTCCTACCTGCTTTCACACCCACAGGGAGCACCTTTTGACCATATGACCTCAGCTCCTAATGGAGAGTCAGAGAGAGAGAATTATGGAGGCGCTTATTACAACAAGTCAACAACATGTTGGCTATTTGTACAAGTAGAGGGAGAAAGAAAGAGAGGAGGAGGAGTAAAGGGAGGGAGCCGAGGCCGTCAGCTAATGGGGGGAGTAATTTGCGAGTCATGAAAGCCTGATTCATGGCAAGAGACTGTCTCCTGTCCTCTTTTTGCTTGTCTCAGTTTGACGACGCTCCGGACGTGTTATTTCTTCTGAGTCACCTGGAACCAACAGAGGAGCGGAACCCTCACTCTAGTTTTCCGCAGGCTCCACCTTTCTCTTGAACACCCTTTCTTTATCCTTCCTATCTTTATTTCTCTCATCTTACCTATTTTTTCCACTGCATCTACCTACCCGATCACTCTGATTGCCCCATTTCCCTATTTTCCTTCTTCCTCCTTTCAGTGTAAAGAAAAAACCCAACAGAAAGGTCCTTTTATTGTGCTGAAAAGAGGTCTCTGCAGTCTATAAAGGACTTCTTTATGTCCTCTCTCCCTTTCTCCTGTCAGCTTTGACACAAGCTGTCTCCGGGTGGCCACTGATGTGACGCCCTCCCTCTCTCCCGTCATCCTCTGACAGGGGGAGATGAAGGGAGGGATAGGTATGGTAGAGTGAGAGGAGGCACAGTGGGAGTGCTGTCAGTGACCCGCAGTGTTAAAAGGTTGTTAGGTAGGAAAATCAAATCAGCCAGCTGTCACAGTCTACCGGACAGTGCAGACAGTCTAGGTGTGTGTTTCCATCTATATGTCAGGCACTGGAGAGTGTGTGCGTCTCTGTATGTGGGTATACCGGCCTGGTAGACTGATCGCTCAGCCCTTTGCTTAACTTCAAGCCCCAGCTGCCGTCAACACTTCCGTTCGGTGGACCTTTGGTTCTGGGTCACTTGCTGTCTGACTGACTGCATGACAGGCTAGAAGGAAATTCCCTCAACTCTCACTGAAGGGCAGACCTGCAAAAAAGAAGGCATCCAAAAGCAAATAAACAACCACTCCCAGAAGTGGACCATGTATAGGTAGAGGAAATCCCTTCAGATGACTCTGGTCAGAGCACAAAGGAGCTGGAAGAGTGGAATGTGTTTGCCTGTGGCTAAGCTTTGTTGTGCTGGTGTACATTGGGTTTTAACATGTTATGGAGGATAATGAGAGGAGTTTGTGTAGTTGCGAGTCATATGTTTATGTTAAGTGTACAGGTGTAGGATTGTATTAGCCAGGTGGGTGGGTATGCTGTACGTACAGACAGGCAGACCCACCCACTAAGCAAACACTCTTAGACTCTGCTCTTTGGGAAAGGGCAGTATCCTGCGAACAAGCTTTATCGTTTTATTGCTGCCCTGGCACTCTTCTGTAATCCACCTCATATTCTGGGTGGGGACCAAAACAAGCAAGCTTTATCAGATGACCATGACTGTGAATAAGCTGAGCTGGCTATATTAGACTGGAGTTGGGGAGCTTTAAGAAGCTACCACATGTACTTTTCCAAGCCACCGAATGATTGAAAAAGCAAACATTTTCAGGTAAATGAGAGACACAAAACCACTAATTAGGTGCAGGGATAATGGCAGCTGAGTACCACCTGTCAAATGACCACTTTAGTCCCTTGTGTGTCTGTAAAAGCTAGTTGTTTTTGAAGGAGCATGCTGACTCACCTGCGTCTAGATACTTTATTCCTGCTGGGAAAGTTCAGCCAAATGAGCGAGTGAGGCTGACACACAAAGCTTACAATTACACAGAAGTCTGTGTAAAACTGCCTCTCCTGCCTGTACTGGTGTACCCTGGACTGTTTACCTCAATTTGTGTCATCATCAGCGATCGCCCCTTACCCACCCGCCTGCCTGCCAGCCAGCACGTTAGAGGGAACCCTAAGCCCTTCGGGGAATCGAAGCATGTGTACAGCATACAGCGCAAGAACGAGTAGTTACCATCTCATTATGGTCGTGTGACTAACCAAGACATTGTTTGTTGTGGAAGGGGTATATAAAACATCAATAGTGGATCACATGCAGCCTTCTGGTGAGGCCACCCACCACAGTCATTCAATGCTGTCAAAGTTGCAGCGGCGGTTAACAGACTCATAGTTGGTTTATTGGTTGAATAAGCTTTTGTGTTTTTTTCTGTGTGACATTATTAATATGGCTGGCTTCTGTTTTGACGAGGTACGGGAAACGATGTTATTGAGGAGCCCAAGCACCACAAGCACCACAACCACCATAAGAACTACTCCCGTCATCCTGGTTACTACAATGACCTGAAGAGCTCCCAGCTCCACAGCCGACGCAAGAGGAGCATCGGTAAGCCTGAATGAATACTATATGCTTCACACTGCCCCTCAGTTGCATCATGATTACATTTGGCAGTATATACATCACAACTTGGCACAACGTATTACAGTGTCATAATGCCCTAAATAAACTTCTATCTTAAACACGAGTTCCCAGGAGATGAAACCGATCACTTTACACTAATTTCAAACAAAGCTAATAGTTAGTGGCTTTTATAATGCCTTTTTGTGGATAAAAGGAACCCTAATGAAGACATCTACCCAGTATTTACGGCAATCAAGGAATCACGAGAAAGGAGACTGGTGTGTGAGGTTGACGAGGACGTCTGACATGAAGCGTTTTAATTGGCCAGAGGCTTGCAGATCTAAGACACACGCGTCAGGAGAGAAATATATCCTTGAGCGTGGAAATTCCAGGCATTCAGGGCTCAAGTTGCAGCTCGCCTGGGCTCTCAGTCAGATTTCTTCATAAAACGCCACGCGGTACGATATCTGATCAAGGCATGGAGAATACCATGTAGTTTGTGATGTGTGTGTTAAGACTGGCTGTGTGTTCTTCACATCTTTCCCAGCAGTGCAGCACTTAAAGCAACGCAGGATAAAATGGCTGGTCGTATTTCATGTATGTGCGCCGTATCATAAGTGTATGATACAGTATACCATTTTGGCAGCTGTCCACAAAAGCCTTCACGTTCTGTACATGATGCACATATCATCTTTATGACATAATGGCATCTTACTGTACACTCAGTGACACAGTGCCTGTCAGAGCATTAAATCTGAAATGAATGCTTACTGCCTTCCTCTTTTCACTCTGGCCAACAGGGTCAAAGGCCATTATTAGATTTTCCACCGGCGGACATAAAGGTTTTCTGGCCTAGTCACGCTGCATTAACCCCAGTGAGGGCTCTGAACAAAGAAGCAGTCTCTTTCTGTCTCACCGACTTGATCCCAAAGCTCCTTAGCTGATATGAGATCAGCTTTTTGGATAGCTTGTCTTCTTAACAGCCTTAAAGAAGGTTGGGTGTGATCTGAGGTAAGGCGAACAGCTCCCACATCAAGTGAGTCATCAAATAATGAGCAAAGAAGGAATGCGTGAAGCAGCTGGGAATGAAAAACGGACGGATTACAACAATACACCAGCACGCGCTCGCATTCGGAAAATGTGTCACTGAACGCTCATGCAAAGACCGAATGCATTAACTCGACTCCTCCCTCTCCCTGTCTTTCTTGCAGTAGAGGAGGCGGTCCCGGCGGTGTGTAAGACGCGGACGGTGATCTACGAGATCCCCAGGAGCCAGGTGGATCCCACGTCTGCCAATTTCCTGATATGGCCGCCCTGTGTGGAGGTGAAGCGCTGCACGGGCTGCTGCAACACAAGCAACATGCGCTGTCACCCTTCCCGCAAGCACCACCGCACCGTTAAGGTAAGAAACATGCACTCCTGCAGTAAAGATAGTCTGCAAGCTTGTCGACTTGTTAAAAAGCATGCATAAAGAACAACCACTCCAAATCATCACTGCATTACAAGGTTAGACACAAAGTACTTACATCATAGTCATCTTATTTATTCCACAAACACACCCAGTTCCTCACACAAATCTCCACCGTTTTCCCTCTCACCAGGTAAGTAAATCATAGTTATAAATCACTCCTTTCCTACTTTGCGCCCTCTTTCCTCTACAGCTCCTCTTCATTTCAATCTAACTCTCTCCTCTGAGCCTCCTTGGCCAGTACCCAGATCGTGGCCACCTTAACTCCACTGTCCCCTCCCCTCTCTCCTTCCATAACACCCGATCGCCACCCTCTCTCCTCATCACTCTATTCCATGTTTGGCAAGAGGCCAGGGCGGCTGTGCCAGGACAGCGGGAGGGAGGAAGAGAAGGAGAGAGAGGGCAGGGAGGGGAGGGTTGTTGGCATCTTCAGCCAGGACATCTGTTTAAGGGTCGTCCGGAGAGAGATGCTCCTGCCAGATATAAGACAGACAGGGAGAGAGAGAGGGAGAAAGAGTCTCTTGTACCTTGAGAATGTCTGAGTGTCACTGGCTACTGCACAGCTATTCCTCCGCTCTCTGTTTGTTTGGCCCTTTGTCTTTTCTGGAAGCAGGGAGTCTGGAGGAGACGAGGTGACAAAGAGAAAGAGAGAGGGATTGAAGGGGGTTGCACTGTTCTCAGACGCTTGTTGGCATTGATGGCTCGAAAACACGGCCTTCTGTTAAGGATCAGAGGAGACACCGTGGCTGGAGCTGAGTCATATTCCTGCTGTATTTACACTACAGACTCTTAGCGGGTGCATGGCTCTGTTTGGAGGTATGGGAGTTATGTGCTCTGTTCTGTAAGAGTAAGAGACAAGCAGAGGATAAACAGGATAGTCTGGAACACTCTCACTGTGTTTGTGTTCCTCTTTTGAGTCTATCTCTGCACTCTGTTGTCCATTCTGTGTAATCATTGTGATCTTACCCGACTATGGACAATGGGACATCGCTTTGTCTCCTGCTCCTCATGGAGGGTTTTAAAGATGCAGCCTCAACAGATCAGCAGAGTAATAAAACAAATACCAACCCCGCCTGCTGCTGCCTCCGCACTGGCAAGATTGCCATTGTAGGGGCAGAGGGCACTGCATCCAGGGCACAGGGTTTATGGTCAGAAAAGCTGACTCATAGTGCGGTCAGGCTCTGATATACAGCACAACACTGTGTGTCTGTCTGTCTGTCTGCATGCAAGCTTGTCTGTCTCTCTGTCTGTCTCTGTCAGACAGTCGGTGTCTATCATCCTCAATGGGAGCTCTGTCTGTCTGTGATGATCACAGTGACGAGGACGGATGGAGAGAAACTGACGCCGGTGGAAAAGGCCGTTATAAGGCTCGATTCAGCTATTCCTGGAATGTCGTGATCCATACGACTTTGTCCATGTCCCCCCCATGACACTGAGGACTGAGGACGCACAGACTGGAGAGGGACCTTCAGGCGTGGTGGGCAGGGTTTCGCTGGGGGACGTTTTTCCATGCGGTTCTAGCCGCAGGCAAAGGGGGGCTGAGAGGCGTTGTATCCCTGGAAAGGTCATCCGTCAGGGCTCGCTCCGGTCAGGAGACATTCACCACATTGTGTGTGAGAAACATTGTCTCATGCCAAGTTTTTTTTTCTGTCTGTCCTCTCAGCAGTTAGTCTGAATAGGGGTTCAGTTTGTGCTTCTCCCTCCGTTTATTAGAAAGCTAAAAATGTTGCCCGTCTACCCTTGGCCTGTTTTCTTTCTGCTGGCCAAGGATGGGAAAAGAACACATTCACTGTGTTTCTTTCCATCTCATGCCACCATGCATTTGTCCAAATGCACCTTTATTTATTTATGCCCCCTCTTCTGTTTCTCTCCCTTTTTCCTTTTTCATGCTATGGACCAAAAAAAAAGAGAACGGGTCTGTGCAGGCCCTCTACTGTACAAGCCTGTCCTGTTCAGTGGCGGGGTAATAAAAAAGGCAACTTTAAATAGGATTAGCCTGAGGGAGGAGAAGGGGCAGATCTTAAATTCACTCTTTCTTTTTCTTAGTCTCACTTTTCCCTTCCGTTTCTCTTTAACTTCTTTTAAACTTTGGTCCATCCCTGTCATAGGTGTATCTTTAAAATTTTGTTTACTTTGTTGTTTTGTGTTGTCAGCATGGCTTGGCATGGGAATGGCACAGTAAGTGCCAGTGGTGTAAAGATAAGAGTCTTGCCAGGCATTTAGAGATGGTTCAGTGTTAATAGAAGAGATTGAGTGAGAGAGGCAGATATGGAAAGAGAAACAGAAAGGGAGGCAGAAAGTTGGGGAAACAGACAGAGGAGAGAGGCAAACAGAATTCTTAATGAGTTTTTATGTATTCAGACTCCTTAATCCCAGCATTCCTTTAACTCCTCCCTCACCCCCTCAACCCACCGCCTTTTGCACTTTCAATGACACCACATACACTCCCCCTATCCCAACATCTTGGCTCTCCCCTCTCTTTTCCATCGAAGTGATTCCTCCATATTTTGTCTCTTTTTCCTTTGGTGTTTCATCACAGGAGGCTGGCAGACCATTTTGACCATTTTGTCAGTATTATTTTTAGTTCTTAGAGTTGTTACACTCCAGATATGACATACGATGTCATGAAAATAAATGTTAGAATCAGTGTATCATTGACATTTTGATAACACAAGACAAATTCTCTCCAACTCCCATTGTCTCTGTTATTTCTTAATCTTTCATCTCCCCTCTCTCATACTCTCTTCTGTATTTTGCCTCTTCCTTCTCCTGTATTCCTTCTGTTCTTCCTCCTCACATGGTTCTCTCTGTCTGCTCACGGCTGCAGCTGTGTCCAGTATTTCTGATGCTTTTCTCAGTGCTTTTGGCTCCAAGGCCTGCTAGACGAACTCACTCATAAAACAACTGGTGATTTTGAACAGGCAGGACTGTAGAGACTGTAGTATACAACGTGTGTGTGTGGTAGAAAGAGAGTTTGGTAGTGATCTCGACATCCACATGCACGTTTCTTTTTTCTCTTTCAATCTTTGTGTGTATGAATGTGTGTAACTCTCTGTGTGTGGATCTAAATGCCCCCTCTGTTTGTTCTTCCTATGGGGCTGATTAAACAGCCCATGAAGGAGGCAAATAATGGAGCTGTCACTCATCCTCTCACTCATTAACTCTTAAAGCTTCTGCAGTACTTGGTCTGTACGCTCATTATATGCCCCTTTCTCATTCACAAACCCACATGAGCAGACACAAGTGACAAGTGACTACATGTGATATTTGTGATTAAATTGCTTGTGTTACTCAGGTAAGGTAATCCAGGAGGTTTTCTTGTATTTTCTGTTGCACGAATATACAGTTGACAGAAACAAGGTCCCATTCTTGTGTGAAGGGCAGCTTAGATAGAGCTTCATATTATAGAAAGTGAAAAGAAAAATAAGGAGAGGGCATAAATGAGCTGTTAATTATACCCTTGTGTCCCACAAAGTAAGTTACAAAATGGCTCAATTACAGTATTTGTGCTGTAAATAGTATTTACATTTTCTAATTTTCAAAATTAACACAGTTAACAAAAATAGAAACAAAACATGAGAACTAACCGTTTTCATTGCCATCATGAGGTGCCTTGATCAAATCAGTATGGCATAATTTGCCAACAATAAAGTTCAGTTTCTCTCATTTGGTTTGGTTTAGTAGCTGGAAACTTTTGATGGTCCTTGAAGCATATGTACAAGTGTTTTGCAGAAGTCATGGAGGGTCACCAGCTCACATCTGTGTAAACCCAAAGAGATTGTTTGTGGGTGTGTGTGTGTGTGTGAGAGAGACAGCGCTCTATGCGATGCTACGTACACTCCCCCACCACAGCGCAGGGACAGGGCCATTTGAGTGAAGCGGGAGCAAGAGGAAGACGGGCCGCAGAGTAATGAAGTGTTGATGGCTGCTGGATCAAAGTGGAGGCTGACAGAGGCCAGGCGGATATAGCCACAGCGCTGAGTGTGGGGGTCCACACATCTCCCTGCACTGGCCCTGGCCCGACCCCATCACACTCGCACAAACACACACACACACTCAATGACAGTTACCTCAGCGACAGTGGGTCACATCCGGGTGTTGGGGGGAAGCAGTAGCTGTAGCCCTGTGGTTGTGTGGGACCCTGACTTACGGGGTGTTTCATAAATAAAAGACGGTGATACAGTGAGCATGATTTATGATCGTCTGAGGGGTCCTGTGGATTACGTGGGGGTGGGGGGAGGCCGATGGGACTGAGGGGCCTCCCTGTTTGAAGTCCCTTGCAGCTGTGAATTATTTTTCCCTTTGATTCACTCAGCTCTCCTACTAGATGAAGAAGGGTGAGGGAGTTTAAGTGTGTGTATAAATGTGTGTGTGTGGTGTGCACTGTGGGGGTTGCGGGGCGGGTCAGAGACCATGGGAGCGTCCCAACCAAGCCAGAAGCCGGAGAGTTTGGCTACTGCCACACCGGCTGGAATGCATCAGTGTGAGCAGGAAAAGTAGCAGCCGTATTTTAATCATATTTTACTTCATTTCTGTATTTTCCTTCACTCCTCCTCTGCTGTCCTCCCTTTCGCTCTTCCCCTCTGACTTCATCCTCACCCTCCACCTCTCTTCTCCGCTCAGCCCCCCTCAGTCTTGGAGTCTGATTGTCTGTTATGTGAAATACTTGTTCACTCCCTCCTCACTCTTTCTGTCTGTCTCCTGCAAGAGAGCCATCTCCCACTCTTTAATTTTACCTCTCTGTCAGTCTCTGCCATTTACTTTACACTTACTTTTTTGGCTCTCTCTCATTAAAATCTTATTTACTTTTCCCTCTTTTAAGTGCTTCGTACTGTATTCCACATCTGCAATTCTGTGTTCTGGAAATACACGGGAAGGAGAGAAGAAATAAATGGAAACATTACACATCCATAGATTCTTTGATATTTGATATTGCATGATAGTTCTGCAGGGGAAGGGACGCTATGTGGTCATGGGCAGACAGTTATTCACATCTGGAGATACATTAATATGTGTGTGTGTGTGTGTGACAGAGAAAGAGGTGGGGAGAGATTGGTGTGTCATGAAGTGCTTTTTTGGCATTGCAGACCTATGAGCAATGCTGTTCTTGCTTCCTCTCTTCTCCACACACCGCCTGCGATAACCTGTTTCACCCGATGCCCCCAGTGTGTGTGTGTGTGTGTGTGTGGGTGTGTGTAGTAAGGGGGTTGAAGTAGAGGGCAGCAGCAGGTTATCTCTTTGCGTCTTCTGTGGTTTCCTATCCCTTTAGCAGATCATCTCGCCTTTCTCCTGGGTGTCATTGTTTCTTTCTTTGATTTCATAAAAACAATCAGACAGACAGATGGAAATACACAACACCTCTTTACGTTCCCCCTCCCCAGTACCTCTCCTCAGCTTGCCCACGGTTGTAGCATCTCAAAAAGAGCTCTTTTTTTTTCCAGGACACAAGCCCCGAGTGTCTCCCTTGCCTAATTTCCCTCCTGATAAATGAAATGCCACTACACTCGGCCTCTTTACACCCCCCCATTTTCCAAACACACATGTACATTCTTGTGTATTTTGCTCAATTCTGTTACTGTTCCAGTTCATCATAGCCCGCGGTGCACATCCACATCCCTGTTGTGTTTTCCTTGGATGGCTGGAGTAAAACTTTCCCCTCCATCATGCTCTCATCAGGGCTTCGTGCTTAGGGAATTACCAATTAGCCCGACCGGGACAATTGGCTTCACCCAGAGCCCCCTGCCTCACCCCAACCCTCTGGATCGGATATCATTCCACAGCCGCTCGGGGGACTCTTTCTCAGGGCCCCGGCTTTCTAGGGAGTTTAGAACAGTTTGATTTATGCAAAGAGACTGTGGGGGCCCCTCGTCGTAGCATGGGGGTCTCTTTCTGATGTATGTTTTATGTGGGAAGTCATTGACTCTGCGCTGGATCGGAAGCTGGTGTTCTTTGTACAGAAGTGAAGAAGTGGCTAAAAATTACATGTGGATGTAAAGAGGAAAATTGTAGGAGTGAAGACCGCCATTCCTGTCTCGTGAACACGTTCCCATAACACAAGAAACAGGAAACAAGATAGAAGGAGAGTGTTGACAAAGTGGGCAGAGCAGAGGCGGATTGAAAAGAATTATAGCACAGTTATACACATTCACATTCAAATATGAAAGTGTGTATGTTTCTGTGTGTAATAACTCCTGCAGGGAGTGTTTTTTTAACCCTGCTGTGTGAGGGGCAAGGAGACAAGCCAACCACTGGGCCTCTCATCAAGGAGGCCCATCACTTTATTCTTCTGTCAATAGCTGTTTGTTTGGCCAAAAGAGTTTGGATTTGTGTGTGTCATTAGGATCAGCCTCAGTAGTAAGTGTCTCTTTTGGCTTCCTTCTGTCTTCTTCTGAACCCCCCTCTGTTCGGATATTCCCGTAACCAATAGCAGCAGAGCCATCCGCAGAGACAGCTGCATCTTTCATCTCTTTTTCTTTCGTTCTTTCTCTCTCTTCCCCTCCTTTTAAGTTAGATAATTTGATTAAATATTAGCAGTGTTAGCATGTTCTCTGGGAAATTCTGTGATACTGTCTGCACCTTTGGTAGATAACAATAAACCTTTGATAACTTCTCTATCTATCCTGTCAGTGTTAGTGTAATAAATTGCCCCGGTAGGTAACCCAGAAACTAAATGTTAATAGGTAACACATGAATGTCATCTTAGGCTAGTCATGATCATGGTCAGTTCCTCCTCCCCCTTCCTTAAATAACCCCCTCTGTTTGCGCACGCACACACACACACACACACACACACACAGACACGCACACGCACAC